CGTTTTATCGTAAGGCTGGAGGTAATCAGCAACGTTGCATGAAGTTGTCAAGATTTCTGAGCTAAATGGTGACATCTACAGTGGCATTTTGGATATCAGTTACAAAATGGTAAATTAAAACTTACCGAACTTCCTCGATGGTAAATTATACTTTATACAAAATTAAGCACAGTGTGCCTCAGGCTAGCATATTGTAGAAAAAAGAATGTAATACACAGATAATAAACAAAAATATAAGGTACTCGTTTAAAAAAAGGTAAAGAAAAACAATATGTTGTTGAAGCCAATGAGACAGCGTCGGCTGAAAAATCTTGCTCAAGTATTCATGACATCTGAACTTCCTAATCCACTGCAATTCACAAGTAAATGTACGAAATAAATTATAATACCTAGCTCAGTCAGATCAGGCAGTTGTGAATGTACCGGCCCTAATATCGTCACATCAGGACTGGCACGATCAGCGGCGAAACGCAAGTCCGTTTCGCTGCCACCGATGCCGTCGTAGTGAGCAACGCGGTCGTAGTCTTGCATGTCATATGGCGAACGGGTGAAATTGTAGAACTCATGGATGAAATGGTCGGTGTAGATCTGAAGGTAGCTGAAAATGCGCTTGCGGAACATGCTGCTTGTGATTTCGTAGCGCTGCACCAAACGACAGATCAGTCGTATGAGGAACTGCACTCGGGACGCGTGGCCGTCTAAGCAATTAGAATAAAGACTAGTGAATAGATGAACAGGTAAAACATAGCAACAAGTCACCTAACAGCACGTTTAGTTCTCGGTTCAACCATGGAACCAGTCGATGAACGCAAGCTGGGTTCTCTTTGAAGAAGTAAGAACTGATCGCTCTTATGCGGCCACCGGTCATCGGCGAAACGCGAAGCTGACGATTGTAAATCATGCGACGGAAGTCAGACGTCGACTGAGAGTACAGCACATAAGGACATCTACGATGATGAAACCATCGAAATTGCATTCCGCTCCTGCGCATCCCCTGAAAATCAAATCTGCGCCATGAAAATGCCTAATGAAGTCAGACAAGCATA